AGATGCAAGACTTGCATCTGAAGAAGAGAGGTTCTTACCCATGAAAGCTTATGCTCCCAATACTTCTGTTAGTCTTAAAGGTGCCACAGGACCCTCTGTTGCTTCTTTAAAGCTAGGATCTTATCTTCCTTTCCACATCACACCAAGAACCCTGATCCTGCTGGGCATTACCATAGGACCAATAATAATAGTACATAACATTTCAAGAGTTTACTTGGAATTTATGTAAAAGTTGATTTCCCCAAAGTGTTAGAATTGACTTTAATTTGCAGTGTGTTGACGAGCGTCTTCAATGCATGATCTGGAAAGCTGTTTTGTCGGGGTCTTCTCTAATTTTTAAACAGGATTCACCTACCGCCTCTGGACCACTAGTAGCTTTGTTGGTGGTGGTTCCCAGCATGGAAAATGTGCTGGCTGGCAACCAACACTGAACATTTAAGCCACTGACCTACAAGCTGGCTAGTGACCGTTATCCGCAAACAGCCAAGGTAACATGACAGCTATGTAAAGAAATAGTTAAATATAGTTGTTCAAGAGGTGAGTGCAGTGACTTTGGGCTGACAACAGCAGGAATGGACATCAGGGACATGAAGAAGGAGATGGGTGGGAGGGGAAAGAGAGGGACTGATGTTCTTCCGGCTGAATCTATATCCTGGGGATATTTGGTAGATGTGGTTAAAGTGACAGGAATTACTAACTGGCAAATGTGCTTTAGTGGAAAAAAAAGTCTACTTTGTGAAATCGAACAAAGTTGTGATTTTTTTTTTAATTCTTTCCACTTCCCCTTTTGCAGTGGAGCCCCCACCTGGAGTAGAAGAGAAGGCTCAGTGCATCAGTGTTCCAGAAGGGACGTACCCCAAACTGCTACCTCATTCCAACCCTCCCTTACAGATGGACTGCACCAGACGGAGCTTGCCACGGGAGCGGGAGGGAGATGACTCTGGAACTAAAAATGACCCGAAGGCAATGCAGAGCAAGAGTGCCTGGCCGGCACAGAGCACCTACGCTGGCCCGTCAGGCCAGGCGTGCGTGAGAGACCTTGTGACAGCACCTGAGAGAGGGCCTGGGCCTGAAAATGGGGCTGTAGGTGAAGGACCCTCCAGTGGCAATGAGGGGAAAGGACTGGCTGTTAACATCTTGGAGAAGCCCCTTTGTCCTGGGGGGAAGACTTTGTCAGAGGTCGCTGTGCCTTGTATGGGACAGAGCACCAGTACTCCTGGTGTGGATGGAGGCTCAGTGGGGGGGGCTCCGAGCCAGTTTCCCCCTCTCTACATGCCTGGTTTGGAGTATCCAAATTCGGCCACACGTTACCATATCAATCCAGGACTGCAGGGGTTCAGCCCTATGATGGGAGGGAAGCCTCCCTCTGTGTCCCATCCACAGCATTTCCCCACTCGGGGCTTTCAGCATAATAACATCCATCCCGGTGTCTTTCCTCGGTATCGCCCCCATCAGGGGGTGCCATATCCCTATCAGCCACAACCTCCACCATCTTACCACCACTACCAGCGACCTCCATACTACACTTGTCCACAAGGCTACTCAGACTGGCAAAGGCCTCTCCACCCCCAGGCCAACCCTGGTGGGCATCCGCCCGCCCACCCACCTCTGGCCAGGCCTTCTTTCTCAGACAGGGGGAATGTGGGTAGTCTGCAGGGCTGCGAGGCATTCAGCACTGCCCTGGCGTCCCCAAACCGAATGGACGTGGCAAGCGCCAAAGAGGTTCCTCCAGGCGATGGGCAGGATCCAGGGCCTGAAGATGAGAAGTCAGACGAATCCCAGGAGAGGCCAGAGAGTCCCAAAGAGTTTCTTGATTTGGACAACCATAATGCAGCCACCAAGAGGCAGAGCTCGGTGGCAGCAGGGGAGTTCCTATATGGGGCTCTCCCCCCGCCTCTGAGTTCTGGGATCGGATTTGGTCCATCAGCTTTCCCTCCCCATGGGGTGATGCTGCAGACAGGGTCTCCTTATGCATCTCGGCATCCAGCCAGTCATTTCCAGCACAGGACATATGGATCACCAGTGAACGCTCACCTGTCTCGTCATCCAGCCACCAGCCAAGCCAATGGCCTCACTCAGGAGGGACCCCTGTACCGCTGCCGGGAAGAGAACATGGGTCACTTTCAGGCCCTACTGATGGAGCAGAGAGGCAGTGGAGGTGGCATGGGGGTGGCCCAGGACATGTACAGACCACCGGGGTAAGATTGTTTTCCACAAGAAGGGGGGGAAATTGGGGGACGTGATGAGTGTTGGGTACTCTTGGAAAAGGTCTAGATTTGAAATCCAAGGTGCTGGTAAGAAGAACAAATTGACAAAATAGTTCTGCTGTCATAGGTCAGGCGTCTCCAAAACTTAGGGAGAATTTCATGGCAGTCTTTTAAAGAGCACAGTAATAGAAATGAGAGAGACCGACCAGGCTGTCTTGTCCATCCCTTTACCAATGCTTTATCTTACCAATCAGAACACGTCTATTGTTTTGTCCAGTTTTACATGTCTCCTGAGCAATGGGGGAAGCCCCCAACCCCAAATTTCCACAGAGGAAACCAATCCTTCCTGCCATTTCATATGTCACTTTTCATTCCAGCATAGAAAATGCTGCTGCTTTAAAAATTGGCCTCCCACCCAAAGACAAATGCACCAAAAAAACCTGGCTTGGGGGTGGGGCCATGGCCTTGTGTGGGGGAATCCAGAGAGAGGGGCGGGTCTAGATTGAGTGTAATTAGAATACATATTTGTATGTAAATAATCTGTACACACTATGCAGATGAGATTTATTCTTGCTGTTTTTGTGCTAAAACTGTCCTTTCATTCAACGTGGTTCCAGAATGCAAATACACCAGACCCAAGCACCCTTCCCAAAGGTGCCCACAGCAACCACATCCCGGGAGGAGCTGCCACCACAAAAACCATCAGCATTGCCTCTGGATCAAGTAAGAGCCAGCGAAGAGCGGAGTTCGAATGAGAACTTTTCTCTTTTCACTAATTAAAGAAGTGAACTATTTGGAAGTGGGTTGGGGGAAAGAGGGAAATGGAGCAATTCTGGTGGGGAGGAAACAAGACTCTCCTGATGCTCGTAGCTGAATCCCTGACTGTAGGTTATACCTGGGACAACACCTGTCCCGTCACTCGTGTTGAAGTAGTTGTACTGTGTAAATGATGGAGCCTTTTCTTTATAAAACTCCTTGTTTAAGCAAATAACAGTGCAACTTTTGTTCTTCCTCTTCCAGAGCTAGTCCAAGGAAGGAAGAACCCCAAGGAGATGAAAGCCACACGTGATTTGGACATGGGGGAAGGAGGACATAGGCCTCCTACCTTCCCCCTCTCCCCAGCGGCATGTAGCTTCCAGGGTCCAGTGGAACACACTGCCTTGATGGCTCTTGTGTGTGTTTAAACATGGGATAGTCCTGGGTCCCTGGCTACCGGCTGTATGGCTGATCTCAACAGCACAGAGGATGTATCTCAAACTAGTGGCTTGTCATGACTGGAGAGTGTGTCTCATTCAGGGTTTGGGTTGGGAGGGGGAGATCAAAACTGTCATGAACTGCTAAACTCAGGTATATTTTTCAGGGTGGAAGAGGGACAACGATGGAATTTACTTGTAGTATTAACATGTGTGTTTGGAGCTGGATCCAGTTTACAGAATTTACCTGTTGCCTTTTTTAATAAATTTCTGTTGTTGGTGAATGTATTGTACATAATGGGGGAGGGATGGGACCCAGCTTGTAGTGGACGTAGCACTGGGGTGATCCTTAACTGTTTACAATCATGTCACACACAAATCTTTCAGGGCAGGGCAGCGGGAGAGATGGGAACTTTGCAACTTTCTATTCCTCCCCTTCCTTCCAGTCCTCTAGAGCTAAGACACGACCCTGTAATTGATCACGGGGACTGCTCAGGAGCAAAGCATGGCACTCTCCTCTTCCACGCAGTAGTTGAGTGCACTTCCACCTCCTGCCATCATGGGGAACAAGGAAACCAGGACCAGGAACTGAAAGTCTCTCATAGCATTGTCCTCTTAGGCATTTCTGGTATGAGTCATCTGGGTACCAGCAAGTGGCTAATTATTCATTTGTACCGTAGTCCTCTTTAGGTGAAGCCAATGCAGTTTGGAGGAAGAAACATGGAGTGGTATCATGGAGGTGTTGTCTTTATTGGAACAAGTAACTGTGCTAGCATATAATACCCCTTAGAAAGGAGACAGGAATAGAGATATCCCCGGTTTTCTCTCAGTGTAACTTGACTATTGTCATCTTTGGTGAAAGCAAAGCAGAAACAGAGTCCCTCTTAAATTCTGAGAACTCCCTATTTCATGTGAAATAGGAAATGGAGCTGCTTTAGGGAGGGTCTGTCTGATGCAACGCGAACAAGTTGTCAACCTGTGACACCAGCTTTGGACGTTTTGTAAATTAGTAGATAAATGTGAATCAGAAATTATTTCTTCTAGCTAGAGTGGTTAAGGGGCACAGTGGAGGTTGTGGAGTGGGGCAAGAATGCCTCGGGTTAATGCACTAGTCTTTCCTGCTAGAACTTACGTTTAAATCTAGCTTTGATTACAAATTAAATGAGTTTGGTGGGGTCTTATCCTTGCCCGTTAGAAGCAGGTATTTGTCCACATTGTAAAGCCACCAAGCAGGCACAACTGTGAGCCTTGGAGACAGGACTAGGTCTGTGGGGCGAGAAGGGAAGGTGTTGCTACATTGGTGGCCTGACGGTGTTGGTATAAGGCATGCTGCTGGATAGGACTGCGATGCATCAGCAGAGCTGCATGTAGCATCCCTGCCCAGCACCTGTGATTGTCCTGTTACTTCTTTTATCCACAGCTTTTGTGAGCTTCAGAAACTTGCTGGATTAAAAACAAAAATTCTTGAAGCTGTCCGGATGAGGAAAGAATAATGTTTTAGTGTATGCCACACTTCCTAGTAACTCTGGCTGGTCTGCTGTTGTGATACTGTTTACCTCTAGTAGTGTTTTGTCGGGTTCCAGGCATTTTCCTAACTCTGGGCCCACAAACTTAACAGGAGTTTAAGCATCAGTGTACTCTGCTACCCAGACACACACACTTGCAGTGGTATTCACACTAGAATCAAATAGGCATTGAGTGGCAAGTGTGTTTCTAAAATGCAACTCTTCTTACTCCATGTTGAAGTCAATCTGTGAATTGTCTGCCCTCTGCTTACAGCAGTGCCCTGATTATTTGGCTTATGCCCGACCCCAAGCCCTCATACAACTCAGAGGAAAATTAGTATAAATTATTTGAATATCTAATTACATAGAACATCACGTTAGTAAAGTGTCAGTTTTAATTAGTCTTTATTCTGTTCAGCAGACAGGGAGCAGCTATCCTTGGCAGTGTGGTGTAGGCTAGGACAGGGGTTCTCAACCTTTTTCTTTCAGAGCCCCCCTCCTCCCCAACATGCTATAAACACTCCACGGCCTGGGGGGATGCGGGGGCGGGGGGGAGAGGAGCTCTGGGCTTCAGCCACAGGGCACTGGGGCTCAGGGCTTCTGCCCCACAGGGCACCATGGCTTGAGGCTTTAATCCCCATGGGTGGGGGCCACATGGCTTTGGGCTTCAGCCCTGCTATTGGAGGGGCTCAAGGCTTCTGCCACGGGGTGCCAGCGCTCGGGGCTCTGAGCATTCTGCCCTGGGCCCCAGCCAATCTAAAGCTGGCCCTGCTTTGTGGACCCCCTGCAAATGGCTCACAGACCCCCGTTGAGAACCGCTGGGCTAGAACACAGGAAATGGAGCTGCAGCTGACCGCTGGAATGAATGGGAGTTGGGCAATCTCTTCCCTCTGAGAGAGAGGCTTAGTCCCATTCACTGAATGGAAGTACTGAAACAGTGTCAAGTATTTATAAAAAGTGAAGTGTGCATGTGTGGCCACATTCCCAGATAATAAACCTGGCTGGCAGGGAAAGTTTTAAATACAGCAATTATTCCTATTTAAAAACCTTTGGTTCATTGTGGATATAAAAAAACTAAAACAAAAGAGCACATTTAACAACCAAGAAACTCTAAATATAATTTTATGGCCAAACATCTGAAACTCTGGAAATTGAATTCAGATTCTACAAACAACCCCTACTCCAGTACGACCCGGGCCCTGTATAGGATGTAAGGTGGCAGCTATACCAAATATTTAAAGTACTTCCTGTAAACTCCTCTTTGTCTTTGTAGGATAGGAGGGTTTGTAAATTGTAGAGAATGAGATAAAGCACTTGCATCTGCAGTTAGTACTAGTATTGGAAATGGGGTTTGAGTGGAGATCTCAGTGTAAATGGAGGGTCTGATGTCAGCCCCACATCAAAAAGGGGCAGAGCTGCATATGATGAGACTAGTGTGGTTTGTGCTCTCTCCTTAGAGAGGGTTGTGGAATGGTAGATAATGCTGAGTGTTTGAACACCATGTACAGAGTGTGAGAGATCAAAGTCTCTTGACCTAGTGGAAATGTGGGAGGGAGGAGGGACAAGGGTGATCTGTATCCAATGAACAAGAGACAGGATGGAGTAGCTAACTCCATTCTAGGAAGGTCTGTAGGTGACGGCTCTTATGTAACGTGGAGTTAGTATGTTATTGGATTATGGGCTGCTGTAACGGGGCACATCCGGGCCGTAACCAGGGTGGGGCAGCTGCCCAGGGCGCAAAGCCACGGGGGCAGAAAAATGGGGCAGAGAAATGCCAGGGGAAAAAAAGGCAGGGGGCGCAAATATGCTTTCTCGCCCCAGGCGCTAAAATGTCTACTTACAACTCTGGGGCACCTGGCTTATATTGGAAATATATAACAGGAATCATGATTGGCTACAGTAACAGGAGAAGGGTGTTCTGGGACAGAATTGTTTGTGGAATCTTAACTCTGAATCTCCAGCTTTTCAAACAGTTTGTTCATAAATTGTTATTTCTATTACAGTATTGCCTAGGAATCCCACTCAAGGATTCCCCCAGCCCATGAGGCACTGTACAGCCAAATCACAAAGAAAACAGCCTTGCCCCTGAGAGCTCACACTCTACATAATAGACAGGATACAACAGGTGGGAAAAAACAGAGTCAGAGTGGACTAGGAGAATGAAGGAACAATAAAAAGAATAGAGATTAGTGGAAAAGCAGAAGTTATAGTTCACCACTTGCCTAGCCAATGCCAGGCAGGAGTGATTTTAGGCATCTTTGCAGAGAGGTTTTTAAGGAGGGTTTTAAAGAGAATAGGGAGTAGCTCTTTATGAATATTGACAGGGTATTTTTTTCCATGCATCGGTGAGAGAATTGTAACTTTACTTTAAAATTTCCTGACTCTTGAGCATTTGAATTTTATCACTGCTACACATCAGTAAGGTTTTTAGCAGATCATAGAATATCAGGGTTGGAAGGGACCTCAGGAGGTCATCTAGTCCAACCCCCTGCTCAAAGCAGGACCAATTCCCAACTAAATCATCCGAGCCAGGGCTTTGTCAAGCCTGACCTTAAAAACTTCTGTATCAGATGTACAGTGGGTTGCAGTTCTTCCTGATTGGGCCCCTAAGCACTACTGTAATACAAATGAACAATAAGTAATCCCTCTTTAGAAAGCATATTAAACCAGTGATATGTGGAAACTTTTTGTAGCTACACTACTTCAGGTGCAGAGAACAGGTTTTGTTATAATTACCAATGTGGGGTAAAAACAAGGCTATATAATATTTAGAATAGATACTGTGCTGAAAGATCTTGTGACCACCAACACACATGACATAGGTTTCAAACTGATCCTCACGGCTGTAAAAACTACGACAGACCCTTGGACTTTTTTGTTTCATTTGTTTTGTTTCTATTTTTCTGTGAGTAATATGTGGTGGAGCTCCAAGGATGTTGGACTGCCCTTATAAACTTGAGTGTAAGAAGTCTGCAACCTGTGGCTGTGCAGTGATTAAGCTTAATCCAATGCAGTGTGGAGTTTATGAACTCCATGGAGGGCCAGTAAAAACATAAGAAGTAACTTCAAAATGAACCAACCAAACCACCCAAAAATAATCAAGGCACCAGCCCTCAATCAGGATAATACAGTAAACCAAATTTGGAGTTTCTAGCTGAGCTGTTTGATAACTCCAGAAAGTGTGAGGAACCTTTTTTGGAAAAGCAAACTTATGTTTTTTGGTGTCAGGTGGTCGCATCTGATTAACACCTTGCTGTATGACTCCCCCGATTTTCTGAAACATATCTCTGACATAGGAGCACCATGTGTGAGAAATCTCAAGTGGATTAGTATAATTTTTGCAAAGCTAGCTTCTTGGAAGCTTGGAGAGGTATCAAAATGAGTGGTTTAACAGAAAACTAGTCACGGCCTTAACTATGGAGAGAATGTCTTCCATGTTGCTGATGAATGCAGGCTTTCCTGCAGCTTTTCTTCCTTCACACCGCAGGCCCTCCTCCATTTAAAATGAAAAAGGCAGTAATTAGACAATAACCTGTTGTATTTTCCCTTCTGCTATTCAGTCCCTTCATAATCTGTAGGTCATTAGCTGTGTCTTTATGCCCAGCCAGGATTGTTTCCATATCCTTTATGACCTCATCCTATTTCCAGTTGGCAGTGGGGAGACACCTCTCTAGGGTGCTGCCTTTTCGGTCACTGTGCAGCAATACTCTGACTTTGGGGCATGCAAAGAACGTGGTTAGGTGAGGAGAAGATGCAGAATGAGGTCATATTTAGTGGTTAACCTGCAGTTCCCATCATCCCCAGAGTACTTCAGAGAATGAACAATGGCACCTGTATGGATGCTAGTGGTTCCTACTGCATAGCAGCGGTGCAGCTGGATCTAGTTTAATAAAACCGCCCTGTAAAAACTTTACTTCAGCCCTTTGGTGTGGAGGGCTGCTGCTGTGTATTTCCCATTCTGCTTTATGCACACAGCACTAGTGGTTGAACAGCAGGTGTGTGAGCACTGTGCCCTCTCTCTAAAGCTGAGATTGAGATGGCAGGTCATGAAAGTGTTGTTGCAGCTGCAGGTCATGTGATGGGCTTAATAGCTTGTGCGTATTGTAACCGAAAAGGCGTCTCAAACACTGACCTTCCAGCCTTTCCCCATCTGTATCTGTTTAACATACAGATGGGGTAAAGCACATTCCAGCTTTGCAGGACCCCTGCCGCCCATGCGGAAGGAAAATACTTTTAACTGGCACATAATGAACCTACCATTCTTGTTCCCTCCACTCTCCACCCCACCAATCAGGAAAAAAACCCTCTCTGCTTTTCCAAATGCCTTTGAATAAGAACTCTCCTGGTGAGAGCTGGGCTAATCAGTCCCCTGTGTGTGGGAAGCCAGGGCAGTGTGTGTTTGGTGGAACTGAGAATCAGGATCCAAGTGTGTTTTCAGTGCCTGCGTTGGGTTTAATGAGCTGCATGATGCTACATCCCTTGGGGCAGCCCCCCTTCCTGTCACTACCATGTTCACTGGCAGTATTAAAGAAGTGGTGGGATGTTGTAAACAACACTGTTTACAGCATATTGGTTTGGATTTGCCTCATCACATTCCAGTCATCTGCATCTCCATTGATGAAGTTCTTCCTCCTTTTGAAAATGCAGATAGAATGGGCGCAAATCAGTGATGGGGCCAGTCCCAGATGTCAAGGGAAGAGAGACAGATCAGGTGTGTGAAGGGAACGAGAGAGCTGGGTCCATCATTAGAAGGGATGCTGGCCGGGTGTGGGGCCATTAGTGCAGTACAAATTATGCCTGGATCCCTATGGCAGGAAAGCAGGGACCTTCTAAAGTCTAGCCCTTTATTGAATTTAATGTAAGTTAGGTGAGTTAGCTGCCATCTGCTACTGAAGAGCCTTCCCCAGAGCCACTCTGGCTTTTTTCAGTCAGAAGGCACTTGTCTCCGATGCATTTCAGTTACCCTTGCATGCTCTCTGTCTACATGCATCTTCAGAGGGGAGAGGAACCAGTCAGGAACTTTCCTGTAGGCTCGTTTCAAATGGGTGTGTGGAAGGGCGACTCCTGGCGGCTGCTGACACACACTGCTCTGCACTGCTCCTCTTTCCGGTGCAGTTAGGAGCATACAGTGTGTTTGCATGCCCGGGAGCCTGGTACAGTTTGACTTTACATCGAGTGAGGAGTTGGGGAAATCCTTTGCCAGTCTCCATTTTTCTGAAGCTGGGTCATGCTGGGGATTGTATTATTGTAAGTTTGTAAAGAATGTAATTTGTCTGTTTGGGGAAAGATGGGGCCTTTCTCTTTCTAGGTAAGGCTGCTATTTGTTGGGAGAAGGGTAGGGTCCAGTGGCCTTGGGCACAGGACCCTGGCCTTTGTCAAACAACTGTAACTGCTCCTGGGCAACAGGACTGCAAGTTGCTGCCGCAGCAGAGACCTCCCACACCAAGCTGTGAAAATAAACCGTATACGAAAATAAACGTATAAAGCTACGTACTCCGGGGATCTGACTCACGCAGGGCTCTGCACTGCAGCATTTGGCTGGATGACAGAACTCTCCGCCTGTGCTGCATTACACCAAGTTTACACCAGGGGCAAACTCACATAGGACCTACTACACAGCTCAGCAGACACGTATTGGAAAGTTGTATTTGATGTCCTAAAAGCATCCAATTTGAGAATGGCGCCTAATGAATTCCTCCCCTAATTTCCCATGTGCGTCACTCCTCCCCAGCTGGGGCTCAGGTACCTCACTCTAATGCCTTCTCCACTGCTCCTGGAAAGCCCTGGTCTTAGTCCTCCCTGCCTCGCCCTGCCCATGGAGCACGGTGTCAGGGATTCTTCTCTCTCCTGCTGCTGCAAAGCTGTGTGAACTTTCCTGGTCGATACTGGAAAGGGGAATGCTATTTATTTTTATATTGTGTATATTTTGTCTTGGTCTGCTGATTCCCTTTGTTCCCCGAGAGCGACAGTTACCTCAATAGTTAGTTTAATACTGTGTGTTGGGTAATTTTTTTAAGAACTTTTTTAAAAGCTTGATCCTTGGAGGTCTGTAGATTTATTTCCATATGAATTGGTTATTTTGTATAAAGTACATTCTTAAAATAGCAACTGCCCTTGCTGTGCGTGTATTTTGTCTCCTAAATAGTCTTCCTATGGAATCTGGAGTGGTGGGACCGAAGGAGTGCTTCTCACAAAGGCAAAGCGTTGAACTGTAATCAGCTAAGGTCATACCATCTGGAAATGTCCTCAAGGCCATTTATAAGAGCACCTGGAAAACCAGCTGGGCAGCTGTCTGGGATTTCCCGTTCCTTAATGTAACTGTCTGCATATAACTATTGAATTATGAAATTAGAGGTGATGTCATCTTATCTGTCCCATGAACCAATGGAGGACTATTTCCTGTGCTGTAATGTTTTGCTCAAGCCAGTTTTTAGTCTCACATGATGGGATTCACCTCTTTCTTCTAAACCCTTCTGAAACAGTTCGCCATGTAACTGATCTTAATGCTAGTACATTCCCTGGCGCTCGTCCTAAATCTTCCTTTGTCTTTAAAAGGGCAGAGAAGGTTTGAAGGATGAAATTAAGCAAAGTCCACAAGGCCCAGCTGCTTTTAAAGGTGAACTAAATTTCACTTCTTTGGTTGCCTTTAATTCTTTCTAATGCTAAACGTGCCAAGAGGACGGAGGCCTGGATAGTTCAGGGGATTGGTAATGGAATAGGAAGCCCTTCAAGCTGGAGGTCACTGTTTTGAATCCAGACTAGATCCAAAGTGACAGTTAGCGTCTGCTGTCTGTTAAACAGCCTCTGTGAAATGAGGCGGTGGTCGTCGCAATCTATTTCTAGTAGACGGGTGTTCTCATGACTGCCAGTGCTTTGGTTGACAGTTTCAGCACTAAATCTGAGAACTGATCTTACACATTCATACTTAAAGGTGATTCCTCAAGGTATATTTTGGGAAGCTTGTTCTTGTCATTCCTGGAGCTGTTCTCTGGATAACTAGTGAGCTTGTCTGTTGATCCAGCAGCTTTTCATCAGTACTAAATTCACATTTAAAAAAAAAAAGATTACCAACGAATCTCAGAGCAGTTGATAACTGGGTGGGGGGGGGAGACTCAGGCAGCATTTTAAGATGTAAAGCACTGC